AGCCAGCAGCAGCAGCAGCGGCGGGTAGACCAGCAGCGCCCACGCCGCCAGCAACAGCGCCCGCACCATCGGTTTGCCGCTGCCATTGCCCTGTCAGCCTCAGCAGGGCCCCCGTGCCTGGGGCCACCCAGCAGCGGACGGGGGGGTGTCCTCAACACCAGGTGGAGCGGCCAGAACAGGATCAGCCGGCGCAGCCACAACATTAGCCGGAGCAGCTGCAGCACCAGCCAGGGCAGTGACAGCTCGCAACGCTGGGTGCTAGACACCGGTGCATCTTGCCACCTTACTCACGACTCCTCTGTTCTGCTCGACCCCTACCTGCTGAAGGAGGCCATCACCATCACCTTTGACAACGGCGGCACTGGCAAAGCCACCACTGCCGGGCACGTGCTGCTGCACACGCCCAACGGCCCCTTCATCCTGCGCGACGTGCTGCACGTCCCAGGCGCCGCCGAGCAACTGCTCTCCGTGCGGCAAGCCACGCGGCGTGGCCTGAGCTTCAAGTTCATGGCCGACGCCTGCGAGATCTGGCAGGGCGACCAGGTCCTGGCCACCGCGCCCTGCCACGGCGACTCAGTCTACACCCTGACGGGCCGGGCCGAGCAGGCCCACGTGGCGCGCGTCTCCAAGGAGAGCCCCCAACTCTGGCACCAGCGCTTCGGCCACCTGGGCTACGACAACCTGGCGCGCCTTCAGACCAAGGACATGGTCACCGGCATCGCCACCACCGCCAACGACTTCAAGGCGGCAGGCGCCGGGCCACCGTGTGAGCCCTGCGCCCTCGGCAAAGCGCAGCGTGCGCCGTTCAAGGCGAGCGGCGACAGCGCCGCCTCCTCCAAGTTGGAGCTGCTGCACACCGACGTGTGCGGCCCGCTGCCTGTCACCTTCCTGGGAGGCAGCAAGTACTTCGTGACCATCCTGGACGACTACACCAAGTCCTCCACCGTGCACACCCTGGCACACAAGTCCGAGACGGCTGCGGCCGTCAAGGCAACCATCACCCAGCTGGAGACTCAAGGCGGCACCCGCGTGCGGAGCCTGCGCTGCGACAACGGCTCCGAGTACATCAACCAAGAGCTGAAGGCCTTCTGTGCATCGAAGGGCATCATGCTGGAGACCACCGTTCGCTACAGCCCGGAGCAGAACGGCGCGGCCGAGCGCCTCAACCGCACCCTGCTGGACAAGGTTCGTCCCATGCTGGAGGATGCCCACCTGCCCAAGTCCCTGTGGGCAGAGGCCCTGGCCACTGCCAACTACCTGCGCAACCGGTCACCTGTGAGCGGCTGCGACAAGACCCCCATCGAGCTGCTCACCGGCACCAAGCCTGATGTCTCCCACCTGCGCATCTTCGGCACCAGCTGCTACGCGCTCATCCCCAAGCAGCTGCGCAACAAGCTGGCACCCACAAGCGAGCCTGGACGCCTCAT